GCTTGTTCTAAGTAGATGCTTTAGACCACTGAGCCATCTCACCAGCCCCTGGTTTGGTTTTTGAGACAGGGTCTCACTATGTGGTCTAGGCTGGTCTTGATTTCACTATGTGGCTCAGGCTGGTCTCTAACACACAGTGATCTTGCCTCAGCCTCCCAAGTGCTGAGATGAGAGGTGTGTGTCACCATGCCACCCCAGCACTGTGGTCTATCTCCGTTTGTCCTCTGGGGGTGTAGGATTCATCTGGTGGAGACCTCTCACCTCTGTTCCTGTGCTTAACCCAGCAAGCTTGAAACCAGATACACTGTGTCATGTGCTTGTGGCCCACCTTCCTGGGAGCAGGGTGTTGGCTACTGTTTCATTTTATTTTATTTTTTATTGACTTGTATTTTAGGTACAAGGTGTTCAGGGTCTCACTACTAGATTGGACGCATATTGATCCACCTGTTTACAGGCTCCCAAGAGCTGGGATTATAGATGCACACCACCACGCCCAATCTCAATTGCTATCTCAGTGCGCCCCAGGGGCAGGGCCAGCAGGCACAGGGATTGAACCCCTGGCACCTGTGCCTGCTTGCAGGTGCTTTTTATTTATTTATTTATTTATTTATTTATTTATTTATTTATGTGGCCAGCTCAGCCCACCAGGGGGTGGGGCTGGCTGGCATGTGGTGCTGGGGGATTGAACTGTGGTCCCTGTGCTTTGCTAAGCTTGTTCTAAGTAGGTGCTTTAGACCACTGAGCCATCTCACCAGCCCAAACATACTTCAAACATTTTTTTTTTTTTTTTTTGCGGAACCGGGGCTTGAACTCAGACCCTTGCGCTTGCCAGGGAAGCGCTTATTCTACTGAACCATCTCCCTGGCCCCTTGCAGGTGCTTTAATCCACTGAGCTATTTGGCTGGCCCTACTGTCCCATTTTATAAACAGGTCCTGGCTATGGATCCATCATGAGTCTACTCTCAGATTTGCTTGCTTGCTTTCTGTCTCTCTTTCTTACTACAAATTGAACAAATGCACATACATTCTACCACAGAGCCACATCCCCAGCCTTTCTACTTAGAGAGAGACTCAGTTGCTTATGATCTTCCTGTCTCAGCCTCCTGAAGATCTAGGATTATAGGCCTGTGCCACCACACCTAGCTAACTTCTTCCTTCATTCCTTCCTTCCCTCCTTCTCTCCCTCCTTCCCTCCCCCCCCACTTCTCTCTCTGTCTGTTTGAGACAGGGTCTTGTTATGCAGTTCAGGCTGGCCTTGAGCTCACTTTGTAGCCCAGGCTGATCTCAGACTCACAGTGATGCTCTTTCCTCAGCCTTCTGTTTTTAATTGAGTGGAATCTTGCTACATTCCTGGTCCCAAACTCGTGGGCTGAGGACATCCGTCCTTCTGCCTTGGCCTCCGCAGTAATATCTGAGAGACTCGCACCACCAGGCCCGGCCTTGCCCTTGCATCTTCAGTAGCTGGGCTGGCCGTGTCTTCTGGCTGCGAGCAGCTCTGCAGGCCCCCCTGCGGGCCCCGGGGCTGTGCACAGCACACTCACCCCATGTCCCCTCCCTGCTTGTCCCGCCAGCGAGCCTCATGCCCGCTTCTACGCGGCACAGATTGTCCTGACATTTGAGTACCTGCACTCGCTGGACCTCATCTACCGGGACCTGAAGCCCGAGAACCTCCTCATCGACCACCAGGGCTACATCCAGGTGCCTGCGGCTGGAGGGTGTGCAGGGGCTCTGGTGGGCCGGCGGGCCCAGCCCTCCGGTACATCTCTGCCAACCTCCCATTCTTGTGCCGTAGGTGACAGACTTCGGTTTTGCCAAGCGTGTGAAAGGCCGCACCTGGACCTTGTGCGGGACCCCCGAATACCTGGCCCCTGAGATCATCCTGAGCAAAGTAGGCCCCGCTGGCCCATCCTCCCCCTGCTCCCCTCTCCCCACTGTCCCCTCACCCTCGCCCCCACCATCTCGCCTCAGGGCTACAACAAGGCTGTGGACTGGTGGGCACTCGGGGTCCTCATCTACGAGATGGCCGCTGGCTACCCGCCCTTCTTCGCCGACCAGCCCATCCAGATCTATGAGAAGATTGTCTCTGGGAAGGTGAGACTCCATTACCCAGACCTCACCACCTCTGCTCTGGGACACGCTCCCCAGGCCTCTAGAGGGGAGCCTCCTTGAGCAGGGAGGGCCACAGGAAGTCCTGGCCCATCTGGGGCCTTGGTCCTCCATACTGTCTCTCCCTGTGAGTTCTCACTGGTCTTACTGCAAAAGAGCAAACTGGTTTGGGGCCCAAGTGGGCCCATCCCAAACATAGTAGCTTCTTTTTTTTTTTTTTTTGGCAGAACCAGGGATTGAACTCAGGCCCCTACGCTTGCCAGAAAAGCGCTTATTCCACTGAGCCATCCCCCCAGCCCCATCATCCCAAACATAGAAATGTCACTAATTCTTGCTTTTTGGTGGCACTGGGGATTGAACCCAGGGCCTTTTTCCTGAGCTCCATCCCCAGCCCTTTAAATTTTGACACAGGGTCCTGCTAAATCGCCCAGGCTGCGTTTGAACTTGTGATCGTCCTGCCTCAGCTTCCAAGAGTGCTGGGATAAGCTGGGCTAAGTGTCACTCATTCTGAAGGTTGGGTAAGGGGCTGTGGGCACACTTCAGAGGAAGTGCATCAGACCATTGCATTCGCCTGGCCCTGGGTTCCAATCCCCCATCATACTTAAAGGGAGGACACCCCTAATGGGAGAGGTGAGGAAACTGAGGCTTTGAAAGGGGCATGTCAGGCCCAGTATCACAGCTGCAAGGAGGAAGTGGGCATTGTGGGGGACACTGCACCCCACCTCAGCTTGGCTCCTGCAGAGGGACTGACTTCAGCTTCTCTACCCACCCCAGAATGTGTACTGAACCCCAGGAAGTAGCACAGGCTTGTTACCTGGGAGGCTGAGGCAGGATGGTCACAAGTAATGATGAGCTTGGGCACTTAAGTGACTTACGGAGACTCTTTCTCTTTTTTAAGACAGGGTCTTGTTACATAGTCCAGGCTGGTCTTGAACTCACTGTGTAACCCAGGTTGGCATCAAATTTACAGCAATCCTCCTGTCTCAGTCTCCAGAGGGCTGGGACTATAGGCAAGCCCCTTAAAAAATTAACAGGGCCTGGGGTTTCAGCGTAGTACAAAAGTCCTGGATCCAAACCCCAGGTCTCAGGAGGAAGGTGGTATGAGACTGGCCAGCCCCGGCTCTGCAGCTGTTGGACTTACTGCCCCTCAGAACCTCACCTCTCCTGCTGGGGAGCCAGCCCCTAGCCTCAGGGAGGTGGAAGAATTCAACAACTGCAGCATGGGGTGTCACACCAGACAGCATCAGCATGTGCCACCAGCTAGTAGAGAAATCTCAAAGACAGCCCAGAATGAAGTCTGGAGAAGACTCTAAGGGGCGGAAGGGGAGGATGAGCATAATTCCTTCTGTGTCAGGTTCCACAGTTCCCACGAGTCCTCTGAGGCGTTATCTCCCTGCACAACCCTGAGATATCTTCCTCCTTGAATCAGAGGCAGGCACAGGCCCAGAGAGGTTAAGGGATGGGGCGGGCCAAGGTCACACAGCATGTGAGAGGCAGAGGAGGGATTATAAGTCAGTTCTTAGGGCTATAAATCTATCAGTAGTTACATAAAGAACCATGACTGATTGCAGAGGAATTGAGTCATTTTTAAAGAATAGAAAACCTATAGCTATGGAGGGAGGGGAGATTTGCTTGTATGTTTGTATGTGTCAAAAGGCCTGCACCCCAGCAAAGCTATCTTAGCAGTTTGCCAAGTATGCATGCACCTGTCATCCCAACTGTCAGGAGGCTGAGGCAGGAAGGTCCCAGGTTCAATCCTAACCTAGGCAATTAGCAAAATCCTATCTGAGCAAAAGGGCTGGACCTGCAGCTCAGCGACAGGGCCCCCACTGAGCACTGGGGAGTCCCAGGGTCCCTCTTGTACCTGTGCTCTCTGTGGAACCTCCCAGAAACTACATGAAACTTCCGTGCTCATCTTTTTTTTTTTTTTTTTGGTGGAACCGGGGATTGAACTCAGATCCTTGCGTTTGCCAGTCAAGCGCTTATCTTACTGAGCCATCTCCCTGGCCCCAAAGCACTCTTCTAAGAGCAGAGGTTCTCAGGAGTACCCTCTCCCCCAGCCCCAGCAGAGACATAGCAGACCCCAGGAATCCTTTCCCTGGGATCCTGGCAACCATCAACTTCGGGGGCCTCCACTTGGCAGGACTGCTGCATGAAGAGGGCCACAGCTTCACCAGACCCCCTCCTCCCTTTCCCTGCAGGTTCGGTTCCCATCCCACTTCAGCTCCGACCTGAAAGACCTGCTGCGGAACCTCCTGCAGGTGGACCTCACCAAGCGCTTCGGGAACCTCAAGAACGGCGTCAATGACATCAAGAATCACAAGTGGTTTGCCACAACCGACTGGATCGCCATTTACCAGCGGAAGGTGGGCTGGCTGCCCCAAATGCTAAAGGGCAGAGAGGCTGAGTCAGGCTGCCTGGGAACACAGACAGGGAAGTGGGGCTTAAACACAGGGCCAGCCAGAAACAGGCAGATTTTGGGGGGGTCTGGAAATGGGATTCTGGGATACCAGGGTTACCCTCTTTGGGCTGAAGATGCCCCAAGAGAAACGTTTCCCTTGGCTGAGCCAGCCAGCATAGGAGTCTTGGGTGGCTAAGACGAGTTTATACTACCAGGGGTAATGGCGCACGCCATAGTTTCAGCTATCCAGGAGGCTGGGGCAGGAGGATCACAAGTTTTAGGCCCACCTGGGCAACTTAGCAAGATCCTGTCTTGAATTTTTTAAAAAAAGGGCTGTGGTGTAGCTGAACAAGAGGCTACCCCTAGGTTCAATCCCCTGTGTGACAAAAGAACAAAACAACCTGTGTCCCAGTACCCCGTACAGATGTGGGTCAGGAACCCAGGACCCACACTGGCCGCCATAGTGACACCGCGCGCTGCTGAGGTCTGGGTGGTTCTCCATCCCTTCCAGGTGGAAGCGCCCTTCATACCAAAGTTCAAAGGCGCCGGGGACACAAGTAACTTTGACGACTACGAAGAGGAAGAGATCCGGGTCTCCATCAATGAGAAATGTGGCAAGGAGTTCTCCGAGTTTTAGGGGTGGCCTGTGCCCCCCACAGTTTACTCTTCTTTGTTTTTTCTTTTTCTTTTTTGGGGGGGATGGGGGGTTGGATTGAACAGCCAGAGGGCCCCTGAGTTCCTAGCATCCGGTTTCACCCCCACCCCACCCTCTAGGGTTGGGGTGAGCAGGAAGCCCAGATCTTGGGAGGGCAGGACTGCTGCTCCCCCATTCCCGCAGCCCTCTTGCCCCTCTCCCCATGGACTCCCACCTACTTCTGCCTGTTGGAAATGAGGCTCTAGTCTCCAGACCAAGTATTGCTGGTACATCAAGGACAGGGAGAGGACAGAGGGGTCCGTAAGTGGCCCCAGCTCCTGACCCCCCCACGCTGTATGGGCGAAGGACGACTAGTGTCAGTGACAGGCTTCGAGGGCTGCTTGCTCTAATTTTTTAAAAACAATTTCAGATCTTATTTAAGTTCCACCAGTGCCTCCCTTACCCTTCACCAGCTCCCTAAGGAATCCATTTTATCCAGGCTGGGAAACTGACTGAGCTCACAAAGAGGAAACTGGGGTTTGAACCTCCGCCCTGAGCTGCTAACCCTCGCCCTGCCACCTTCCTAGGGTCCTCTGCCACCCTGTCAAGGGGCTCAGCCCCTCCCTGATGTCCCCAAACCTCTCCTTCACCCTTGGGCTTCGGGAGCCAGACCAAGCAGCTACCCCTCTCCTTACCAAAGAGGAGCCGTCCCCCAAAAAAGAGGGGGAGCCTGAGCCCATGGTCTCCCCTCCCAGCAGCAGCCCCCCTCCTCAACTCCATTTTATTCTGATTTTAACACCCAGCCTCCTTAGCCTTGGAAGGCGACCCCACGAAAGGACTTGGAAACGGAAGAGTGCCCCCCACCCCCAACTCGGGTTTGAGGAGGGGCTACCTGTGTCATCCATCGGCGGCTTCAGCGCCCCTCCCTGCCTGGCCGCCCCCTAGCTTTGCTGTCAGCTATCCATCTCTCACGCTTCCCAACGTCCGATCTGTGTTTTTTCTGGCAAGGTGGGGGAGCCACCCCGTTCACCCCCACCCCGTGTTCGTCCCTGTCAACTCCTCCCCAGCTGCAGAGCCCTCAGGCAGGCTGGGGGCTCCGGGTGGGCGCGGGGCCATTCAACCTGTGTGCTGCGAAGGGCGAGACTTCCTCTCGAACAGTGTGCTGTTGTAAACATATTTGAAAACTATTACCAATAAAGTTTTGTTTAAAAAAAAGTGTCGCTAGTGTTCCGACTTCAGTTCCCACCCACACCCTGCGGCTGGAGAGGGACTTTCGGACCCGCACTCGGCCTTCTCCGCCAGGCCAGCCCGGGCCCGAAGTCCCAACAAAACCTGGCTAGGCTGGAATCTTGCCGCTCCCCTCGACCCGCGGGGAGAAAGCGAGGCCATGCTGCCCTTTGACCCCGGATACCGGGAGGGGGGTCCCCAAATTCGCGGCGCGCCCTCTCTCCTTCGAACTCCGGACCGAGAGGGCGCTCTAGTGAGCCGCCGAGGCCGAGGCCGGGATCTGGGAGGCCGAGCGGGGGCGGCCCAGAGAGCGGAGTAGAGGGAGCCGGGCACTCCCTCCACCTCGCATCCCCAGCGCTGGGCCGGCGCGCTCCAAGGTCCCCGCAGCGCTCCCGAAACACGGCGGCCAGGGCCCGCGAGCAGCGAGTTCCTGGCCGGTGCAGTCTCGGCGCGGAGCGCGCGGGAGGCGTGGAGAGGGGGCTGGGCGCCGGGAACGTCTGGGTCCCGCGCCCAATGGCTGGAGCGCGGCCGAGCGCCGCCCCGCCCGCCCCCTCCCCTCCCCCCGCGCTCCCCTCCCCCTCCCCCTCTCCGCCCGCCGCTCTCCCCCGCCCCCGCCCCGGCGCCAACTCCGCGGCGCCTCCTTAAAAAGCGCGCGGGAGTTGTAGAGGGGGGGGCCCGGGGCGCGCTGGAGTGAGCGCGAGCACAGGGGAAGGGGGCGGGCGGGGGGCCGGGGCTCCACCTTAAAAGCGGGCGCGTGGGGTGGGAGGGAGGAAGGCGGGCGGCGGGAGGCGGAGGGCGGGCAGGAAGGGGGGCCGGGTGTCCCGGGCGCAGGGCGCGCGTGCGGCGGCGGCAGCGGCAGCGGCGACGGGGAGGGGCCGCGCAGCGCTCCCTCCTCCTCCTGCTCTCGCATCCCGGCCCCGCGCGCGCCCAGCACCAGCGGGCCGTGTGTGCGTGCGTGCGAGTGAGTGAGTGTGTGCATATTTTCCTGTCTCTTTTCTTTCTCTCACTGTTTTTTCTCTCTCTCGCTCCCTCTCTCGCGCGCGCTCTCTCGCTCTCTTTTTTGCAAAGAAACAGCAGCGCCGCCGCCGCTCCGC